CCGTGGTCACCTCTGGTGACTAAGTTCTAAGACAGTGCCTCCTTATTCCCCATCTGTCAAATGGGGCTGCTGTGACTACCAGCTTCACTTTCTCCTGACCACACAGGACCTGGATTGTCCAACACGAGCCATCTGATCTTTTTTTGTTTTAATTTTATTTATTTTTAATTTTTGGTTTTTTGAAACATGGTTTCTCTGTGTAGCTTTGGGGCCTGTTCTGGAACTTGCTCTATAAACCAGGCTGGACTTGAACTCACAGAGATCCATCTGCCTCTGCCTCCTGAGTGCTGGGATTAAAGGCATGAGCCAGCACTGTCTGGCCAGTCCAAGCTATCTGTAGGAGGGTTAGGAACACACACACCCCAACTAGCTACTATCAACTCAGAGATGGAGCTGGATGTTTGGTTGAGGGTCACATGGATGATGGGTGCCAGGGAAACCAGCAGAGGGGGACAGAGCAAGACTGCCATAGGTGATGCCAGGGGGGCCAGTGGACTGAGAGGATGGGGTACAGTGCGATAGAGACCCACTGGGGTGGAGGAGGAGGGTGTGACAAGGACTGCTGGGCCCTGGGGCCTAGATTCCTAGTTCTGCCGGAGCCTGCAGAGTTAGGACTTGTTTATTCTTGGCAGGAAGGCTAGTCCTGGGGAGTAGGAGGGGGAAGCAAAGCCTTTAAAAAAAATAATAATAAAACATTCATTTAGAAGGCTTCCAAGGCGTGCTGAACTGCAAAGGGGTCCTGGAAAAAAATGCTGAGAGGGTTTAAGTGTAAATGGACCCAAAACACCATAATTAAATTTCCCTTAAATTTACCAGAGTTTGGGGTCAAAGAAAAAATAAAACTTTAGGGAAAATACACTTGAGGTTTCAGGCCAAGAGCTTAGGAAAATAGATTTCTGAACTGCTCAGCAGCTACCGGCCTGGCCCTGCCAGTCCTTGAGTTGTTGAGGCCTTAACCCCTCTTTGCTCGGCACTGCCCTGTGCACTCGCTGCTCCTGGGAACTTTCGTGGCACTGCGGTGGCGTCTTGTCAATTCTTCCTGCTTTCTGCTGAGTAGCCCTTCTATGCCAGGCAGCCTCACCCTTGCCCTGCCATCTGCCCACAGCTCTGATCTCCATTCTTTGCTCAGCCAGGCATATTTTCCAAACCCAAGTTAGGACCTGAGGTCTAGTGGTCTGAGTGAACCAAGGGACAGAAAGGCCAGAAAGCTTGGTCTGGAATATCACAGTATGTCCAGGCTCCCAACAGTGCGTGACTCATGTTATTGCTCTTTTTGCTCAACCTGCCAGGAAGCTCAGTGCTAAAATTAAGGACCTTATATAGTAGCTAGTATTGGCTGGAGGCTTTTGGAATATTTTCTCTTCTTGTTCATGTTCTTCAAAATTCCATTTCTGTGCTAGGTGGTGGTGGTGCACACCTTTGAACCCAGTATTTGGGAGGCAGAGGGAGGTGGATCTCTGTGAGTTCAAGACCAGCCTGGTATAGAGAGTGAGTTTCAGGACAACCAAGGATACACAGAGAAACCCTGTCTTGACTCACCCCCCCCCCCAATCCATTTCTGTTATAATGTGTAAGTCAAAGATACTTTTCAAATTCTGAGAGTAAATGTGAAGGGCAGAAATTCCCTACAGTCACTCATAACCACACCCCCTTCAAACCTGCTCTCCTTCTTCTTTGGGGGAACCGAGTAAGGCCAGTCCTGTAAGGGGGAGTTCTGAGCCCCTTTCACATGTTGTTGCACTGACTCCTGAGCCTGTTGGCACACAGTAACATGTTTCCCATTATAGATGAGGAAATGGGGACCCCTAGGAGGGGCGGAGCAGCTCTGGGACTCTGAAAACCTGTCCTTTCGGCCAGGATGCAGAGTTTCTCGGGCCTTAGTTTCCCTATCTTTTCACTCTGCCACATTGCAGCAGCCCCCTGCTGGACCAGACATCCTTCCTGAGGGCAATCTAGTTCCAGGCACGGGACTACCCCTGCCTGGGTTCCAGGCCCACTGTCCCTATAGCAGCTGCCAGGAGCCCTGTAGTAAGAGGTGAACTATGAATTCAGGTCTGTCCAGGAGGGTCCCTCTGATGACAGCACCTCACTGCCATCTCCCCGGCCTTAGCCCTGGCCTGGCTGGGGAGGTCAGAGAAGGGCAGATATCAGGGTGCCTACTCCTAGCCTGTGGGAATGTTATTCCAGGGCACATGTAGCTGGTGCCCCTCCACAGTCTCTCTCCTTGTTGTTGAGCAGCATAGGCCCCCGAAAGCTGAGGCCACCAGCTTCCACTCAGATGGAGCTGAGCCCCTTAGCGTGCCTGACTTGGTCTTTGCCTGACTCATCGTCACTGAAGACTCCATCTATCTCGTGGGGCTTAAACAGTTGATGGGGTCCCAGGAAGTAGCCAAGGAAGTGTAGGTATAGATGGGGACTTTAGCATTAGGAGACCTTCCCACCCCATCATCAACACTGGCTTTTGGCAGGCTCCACATCTTGTCCTCTGGGATTCTGCCATGGGCCAAAGTTGCCTACCTTGTCAGAGTCTTAGTACCAGTCTGGAGTTCAAGTGAGGGGCCTGGGATAAAATAGTGGCTAAGTTTGGGACAGCATTATGGAGATTTAAGGGCTGGTGCACTTGGCACAGATGACAGAGTGGTGGGGTCAGCCTTACCTTGTGTAGCTCTCTGAGAAGCATGGGGATTCTTGCTGAACTCACTGACTGGGGAAAAATCACTCTGAGTCTGGGGTTGGGGCACACGCCTTTAATCCCAGTACCCAGGAGGCAGAGGCAGGCAGATCTCTGTGAGTTCGAGGCCAGTCTGGTCTACAGAGCGAGTTCCAGGACAGGCTCTAAAGCTACACAGAGAAACCCTGTCTCGAAAAACTATGAAGTAAAATTAAACGGACAAAGCCATGCCTTTCAGGAATTATGTCCTGGTATAAGGTAAGACAAAGTGAGCTGCAGCTATGGGGGCTGGACATGGGAATCAACTCCAGAGAATCAGTGGAGTCTCAAAAATGCTGTGCTCTTTTGATGTAAGGGCCACCAGAGAGTGGCAGCCATGCTAGAGAGTCCTTAACACCCAGGCCATGTCAGGATGTGCTCAGGAACTACCAGGTACATAGTGTGCAAAAGCTGGCTCCCCACAGGCAGGTCTGTGTGCTGACTCCTGGGATGAGAGATGGGAGATGTGGATACGGCACAGAAGAAGCCATGTGAAGATAGAGACTAGATGACCACAAGTCAAGGATGCCTGGAGGCCCCAATTATAACAGGCAGGAAGAAGCTTCCTCTAGGGCCCACTGGCAGCTCATCTTGATCTCTTGACTTCTGTTGTCCTGAACTGTGAAAGTAAATTTAAGACAATCAGGTTTTAATCTGGCAGTAGGCTTAGAACAGGAATACATGTTGTGAACCCCACATTGCTTCAGGGGAGCAGGGCCCACAGGAACTGGCCCATGCCAGCCCACATGGTTGGGGAAGGAGCAGAGTGGAAGAGCCCTGTCTGGAGCCTTCTCTTCTGCATGTGTTGCCCATTGGCCAAATCTACCTAGAAGCTGGAAAGCAAGGAAGCCTAGGAGATATGGTCTGTCGGGCACAGGGTTCAGAGAACAACCACCACTGGTCTGGGATTCCCAAGTGAATATTTCTGCCCAGGAGTCATCCCAGGAGTACAGAAGTACTGCTGTCTGGACAGATGCTCAGCCTCCAGGAACAGTGTGGAGGGGTCTGCTAAAGCCTCCAGAGGAGGGGGGGGTGGAAATAGCGGTCAGAGTTCACATTCTGGTTCATTTACTGATAATTAATCTGCCAGCAGATTAGGGGAGAATGTCTGCTATGATCCCCTGGGGTGGTATCCTGGGAGTGGGCTGCTACCTGGGGGTGCCATGGGAACCCAGGCCTGGGTCCTAGCCAGTCTGCAGTGAGGTGTGCTTGGTCAGAGCAGGCAACATGAGTGTCAGTAGACTTGAGGGCTCTGGGGACAGCCCTGCTCAGAGATCCGGGAAAGGTAAGAGTGACCAGGGAGCAGCTGAAAGGTTCTCAAGGCCCACCTTCCTTGTATCTGATACGAAGGGTGAGTCCTTCAGAAACGTGGAGCCAAGACCCCACCTACTTCCCTCTCTCTCCCCTGGCCTCAGGCCTGAAGCTTGATCGTGAGACAAGATTCCCAGCCTTGTGAGGGTAGATACAGAAGCCACCAGTCACAGGATGGTGGTGGTGGGTGCTATTTCAGAGGGTCTGCAAGGCAGCACTTACAACAGCTTGCCAACATGATGGGGTGGCCAGGTTGATCCTCCTGGGAGCAGCTGTCAGTGTGACACACCGCAGATGGAATGTGTCCCCAGCATGGGAGTGCTGCGTTAAGACCTCCCCAGGCTGGAGTTCAGACAGCCAGTTCTTCCCTCTGGTATCCCTAGCTCTTCTCTTATTCCGAGGCTGGGAACTAAGTTTACTTCCAGCCTTATGTCTTGGGGAAGTGTGAACATCACCCTGAAGCAGGGCATTCAGGCAGCTGAGTTCATGTGGGTCACCACCGGTTGGTTTGATAAGTACAGTATCCTTTTCTAGGATGCAATCCCTGCATCTTCAGTCGTCGTGTAAACGCTGCTCCATCCTTCACCACAAGGCCTCTTCACACCCATTTGTCCGCCTGGAATGCGATCAGGCTCAGCACCCGCGGAATTGCGACTCTGCACAAGGTTCAGCTCAGGGGCCGGTTCACTGTGAAGCCGCCTTAACACCTGGAAACGCCACCAACGCCGCCCCTCTGAGCCCCTTCGTCTTATTGGACGAGGCAGCATGCTGGCAGACAGTCCTGAGCTCGACGTTGCTTCGAGGGGTCGAGTGTGCTACCCTGGCCTCTCCCGCTCGGTCCCAGCTCGGCTCCCACGCCCTCCGGGACCGCCCGGCGCCCCCCGCCTAACCACGCCTCCTCGGATACCCCGCCCCTCGGCCTCCCGGGAAGGGGCGTTTCGGGGCGTGGCGGGAGCAGTCCGTCCCCCGACTGGCTGCTGCGCGCCCGGCAGCCCCAGTTCAGTGCACTCTGGCGGCGGGGGTGGCGGGAGCAGTTGGCGCCGTGCGGTCCATTCCGGCCCTGGAACTCACCGGAGGGCGGACGGCCGCTGGGACAGAAGAGATCCTGGGAGGGCGGGTTGAGAACTGAGACCGGGACTGCGCGTGGTGAGCCGGGCTCTAGCAACCGCCAGGTTGGTGTAAAAGACCCGGCCGGCGCTCGGAGGGGTCGGGCGGGCTCTGAAGCGGTCAGGACCCGAGGCGGACTGGAGCTGGAGCGGTCCGTGCGTGCGGCGAGGCCGGGCCAGGCACGGGCTTCCCGATCTAGAAAGTTTGCTGTTACTGCCGCTGTCCTGGGAGGGTTCTGCGGCAGCCAGGGAGGGGAGGAGGGAGAGACCGCGGTTGGGAGGAGGCGGCCGGCGCCAGGCGGCCCCGAAGCCCAGGGAGGCGGCGGGCGGGGCGGCCGGGGGTCCGGGCGCAGGAGCGAGGCCGCCCTCCTCCCCTGCCCTCCCGAGTAAACTGTGTTCTCCCGCAGTTCTCCCGCAGATTCCGGAGCGGCGCCCTCCCACCGGCGCCGGAGCCGGGCGTGGGGGGTGCAGCATGCCCGCGCGCGCGGCTTGAGGACGCCGCGGTCCCCGCTCCAGCCATGGTAGTCCCGGTCTGCGTGCTAGCGTTCTGCTTTGCTGTCGTGGCCGGAGCTACCTCCGAGCCACCCGGCCCAGAGCAGCGAGTTGTGCGGAGAACGGCAGGTAAGGAGGACTAACCTAAGGTGTCTTCCGGGGGGGCGGGGAGGGTAATCTTAATGGCCCACAGAGGTTTTGAGAACTGCAAACTGTCCTTGAGTGGGGAGCATCACGGCCAGTGTGTCCCGTTCCGTAGATCGCTGACAGATCTGGAGCGGCGGTTTGTGGTGGGTCTGGAGTCTCAGAACCACCACTCAAGTGAGAACGGTGCGCGGTGACCCTGGTCCCCGACACGCGGGAGGGCTCGCGAGCCGATTTTCCATGATTCTCACTGTCGCTGCTCTTATCTGCGAGGACGGAAAGTGTCTGTTGTTGGTTCCCTCGTGTTCCTGGCACAGTTGCTCGGTTTTGGCCAAAGTGAAGGTTGGACTTTGGAAATGGACGGGAGTAGTATCCCAGCCAGAGCTCAGCACTGTCGTCCAGGGTCTCGCATGACAAGGTGACAGCTTCAGCGCCGCTGCTCCTCTCTGATCCTGCAGGCGGCCTGAGGGGTCGGTTCCCAGGGGCGCGCACGGATCGCCCTTCAGGCTGCACTCTGGGAGGTGAGGGGCGGTTGTCCCGGGATCGTGGCGCCGCCGACGTAGCCGGGCTGGCCGCCAAAGTCCGTTGGGACTCGGAGTGCCGTCAGACGGGGCCGGAGGCTGAGAATACGGGAGGGAGCCATGGCCAGTCAGCCCTTCGTCCCGCCGCCGCCACCCAGGGGTGCGACGCGCGCGGCCCCTGGTTGTGCCCGGCGGCAGCGTGGCAAAGCAGAGCAGTGGTCTGGCGGGAGGCCGCGCGGAGGGAGGCCTTCGCTCGGTAAGCTGTCGCCCCACCCGAGCTGAGGCCGAACAGCCGCTCCTTTGTACCCTGGTGGCCACAGGCCGCACATTGATGGCGGCGCGGCCTCTTGGGGAGGTGCGAGTGCGGCGAGCGCAGCGGGACGAGGCAGATGGCGGCGTGCCCCTCCCGGCGCCCCCTCGCCCCTTTCTCCCTCAGCGGCTGCAGCTTCTCGGAACAATGTCATTTTTTTTTTTTTATGAATGAAAGTGGGCCGGTAGCCTGAATGTGCGTGTCTTTCAGCGGCGTGACAGAGGCGGTCGGGAGGTCAGCGCGCGCTTTTAGCGCCTGCTACGACGGCCTGGCTCCCGGGCGCCGAATGGCCGGCGACTGGACCACATTAGCATGTGTATTCAGATGAAGATATTACTCCCTGCCTCGGGTGTCAGTGAGCAAGGGTAGGGGTGGCGGGGCGGAGCGCACACCCTCACTGTGCTCCAGGCAGTGACTGTGGCGGCCTGGCACGTCCTTGCTATAGGAACCAAAGTTGAGCCGGGCGGCCCGGGATCGGTGGGATTTGCGCCCGTCCCGCGCCCCAGCGTTTGAGCCTGTGAGACAGGTAGGGAATTGATAGACCAATAAACTTAATCCGGTTCCTTAACGAGATGGGCCGGGCAGTAAAAATACAAAGACCTGGTGAAGTTTACAGAGGTCTCGGCTGGCGCTTTCCCCGGGAACATAAATTACCGAATTGGAGCTGGCTGGGGTCAAGAGTGCGGGGCGGGGCTAAGGCTCCAGCCTTCCCTGGCCACCCCTGGAGGGACGAGCCCAGCTGGTGAGCTCTGTGGGTAGAGAGTAGGCCGCAGGGGGTCCAGAAGTTGACCCCTACAGGGGCCTGAAGCAGAGGGTGACAGAAGTCGAGCCTTGCACCTCTCTGGGCGTTGCCTGCCCCCCCCCCCCCCCCGCAGAGCTGGACTTTGAGCCCTGCAGGCCCTCGGTGGTTCATTAACCTGGGCTGATCTTAGGCCCTGAAGCTTTGGGTCCCATGCTGAGCCTAGCAGCCCCTTGTGCTTCGGGCCACATTCATGTTTCACTTGTGGCCTGTCGGACCTGGAACCCTCCCCCTTCCCTTTTTTAAACCGTTGTGCCTACAAGGCAAATGAATTACCCAGGGGAGGTTCTGGGTAAGGTGAGGTTTGGGGGAAAGGGGGCCTGCCAGGTTGGGAAATGACTGAGCTGTGAGTAAAGCCACCTGGGGTTGAGGCCTGCCTAGGCTTGGGTACCCTCCTAGAACTTAAGTTTCCTCACCTGTCATGCCAAAGAGGTCTGGTAATGGCTGGGTTGTTACGGGGATTAAACCAGATAATCCTCAGTAAACCCTCATTAGCCCGCCCAGACTCTGGATTCTTTTTGTTTTTTCTGTCTTGACTTTACTATGAAACTGGAAAGTGGGATGCCTCCTGGTGGGATGGCAGGGAGTAGGGGAGGAGAGGAAGGCGAGAGACCCTTCCTTGGCTTCAGAGTTCTTGGGGCACTCTCCTTTCTCTTTGGTTGTTTGAATCATAAACCTGCTCCTACGCCAGGTTTGTTCCCTCCCAAAGCAGATGTTGCCTGGATCCGGGTCCTGGTGTTGCTCCAAAGCTGAAGTCCCTGGAGTCCTTAGGGTGACCTCAGAAACAGGTCTGGATTTGCTGCTAGTTCTGTAGTGGTCACTGGTGTCTCAACAGTAGTGACCAGACATAGTTTCGGGTCCTCAGGACCGGATGCAGCCCTTGTGACAGCTGGTCAGCCATGGGGTCTCCACAGCATTGTTTTATTCAAGATGCCCTGGAAGAGGTTCTCCTCATCCCCCAACAGGCCCTAGCCTCTTAACCAGTCCTTTTTGGACCTCAGGTCTGCAAGTTGGGATTTGTACATTGTATCCTAGCGAGGCCATGTGGATGAGGACAGACCCAGCAAGGCCTGAGTGGGACACAATGTCTTCTAGCCTGCCCCGTAAGCATATAGGGCACCCAGGTCCACCTCCTTATGTGGTGGGGACGCTGTCCCCTCCGTGGGTACAGCAGAAGTGCCAGTGCCTGTGTGTTGCGTTTGGGCCACCTTTGATGGTGGCTCCTAGGACGTTATCTGTGCGTTTCTGGAGCTGTTCTGGGAGCACCACTGGCCAGTGCTCTGCTCCTACCATATTCTGTGTTGTCTCAAGCACCATCCTGTACTGTCCTTCCCTTGTTATCTGCCTAACTCAAGTTTTTCTAAGCTTTGTGACCCTGGGGTGGTGGTGGTGGTGGATAACGTTGTTGCCCCAGGCCTCCAAACTTCAGGCATCTTGTTTCTGCTGGCTCCTAGTGGACAGGGATGGGTGGGCAGGTCAAAGGTCAGGTCTTAGCTGACAGAACCATTTCCCCTCGCCTTCCCAAGCCACCTACTTCTTTCTCCAAGGGGCTGACCTAGGGGCTTGTTGTGTCCTCTCGTTTGCCTCTGAATTAGTTTGAAGCAAATACTTGTGTTGAATGGCTTGACCTGTTGTCTTGCCCAGACCAAACCGGAATCAACTGTTGCCCTTGGGCCAAAGCCTAGACTGAGGCTGTGGACTAGCCTGTTTTTTTTTGGGGGGGGGGCTCAAACAGCTCCCAACACTGGGTGGTCTCCATAGGATGGGGCAGCAGGATTGGAAGTCCAGATAGAAGGCCCCTCGCTGTGGCACCTGGCCAGGACAACTTTTAAAGCCCCAGGGCTCTGTGGCAGATGATCATGGGTAACTCCAGGGTCTTCTGGATCCCTCTGGCTCTCAGAGTCCTGGTGGACTATGAGCCCTGTGGTCTGACTCTGGGATGGACAGAATTGGGCCTGACCAAGGACTGCTGTGGCCAGAGTGGACAGCTGGGCCTCGAATCTAGGCCATGCGTCGGCAGAATGACAAGTGACATTATAGCCAGTCCAGCTGGATCTGAAGAAGAGGTCTGCTCAGGGACCACCCACTCCTGTCCTGGGCCGTGAGCCCAGCTGCCCCTGTGATGGGCATTGTTGGATCCTGGCAGGGAGGCCTGGAGGTGATCGCCCAGCTGGTAGTGAGTCCCTGAGTGTGAGGTCTTCGGTGCCCCTCATGAGCCGGCTGCACCTGGGCAGGAGAGATGTGATGGGGGTCCCATGTCCTTAGTCATCCTGTGAGCTCATCTGGATCCTTTATCCCACTGGCCAGAGACAGTTGTATCCAGGTTGATTGGTGTTTTTAATGTTTGCCCTATCTTTCTAACTGACCGCTGTGTAGAAGGGGCATTTAAGCTGCAAGAACCTGGACTGTCCCAGCCCAGGGACCTGGTGCACGTGGCTGCTGATGAGGTCCACAGCTCCTGTGATAGCAGCCCTTGCAGAGTGTCCCAGCCAGGGCTGTCCACCCAGGTTCTTGAACGGCCTTGTGTCGTTGTCCCTTCTTTCATTCATCTTTATTTTGTGTCTGAGACAGTCTCACGCTGTAGCCAGGCTGGCTCAGCCTGTGGCAGTCCTGCCTCAGCCATCTGAATGCATGAGCCCCACCATACCCAGCTTTCCCCTTGCTGTTGCTGAAGTGTGTTCTGTTCCCTGGCTCTCCACTAATATGGTTTAGAAGCCAAGACGAGGGTTGGGTGCTAAGAGGGCCCTTGAAAGGACTCCCTATTTCTTTGTGTTTTGAGCCAGAGGCCCGTGAAGAACAGCCTGTACCCAACCTGCTTTTGTGCTTCCCTTTAAGCCAAGGGTTGTTTGTGCATGTCCACATGGTGGAAGAATCAGAGGAAGAAGAGTTGTTGATGACCCTTTTCCTGGTGCTGGGAATGAGCTCAGGGCTTTAGACATACCTGGGAAGTACTGTACCAAAGAGCTGTCCCCCACTTTCCACGACACTTGTAGCTCTGAGTTAGTGGGGGTGTTGCTGTGTCTCTTCATGTCTTTGGAAGACAGCTTCTTAATATAGGACAGAGGCAGAAGCCTTAGCCCAGACCATCGCGAGCTGCGACGGTGATGCTCCTGGGCTCTCACTAAACCAGCTCCACCCCTGGTTTGAACACTGTCAGTCACCCGGGCCCCAGGAGCACAGCCCTCACTTGCCTGCATAGCTTTTGCTAGTGTGTTTACAAAGTGGAATGTGGGGCCTTTGGCGTGCTGCTTTGACACTTCTCCTTCCATTTTCATCCACAGAGGTTCCGGGGCCTGAACCTAGCCAGCAGGAGCAGGTGGCCTTTGGCAGTGGGGACACCGTGGAACTAAGCTGCAATCCACCTGGAGGTGCCCCCACAGGTCCCACTTTCTGGGCTAAGGATGGCACAGGGCTGGTGGCCTCCCACCGCATCCTGGTAGGACCCCAGAGGCTCCAAGTGCTGAATGCCTCCCATGAAGATGCCGGGGTCTACAGCTGCCAGCAGCGGCTCACTCAGCGTGTGCTGTGCCACTTTAGTGTGCGTGTGACAGGTAAGTGGTGGGTGAACGGAGCTGTCAAGTGTGTTGAGTATCTTAATAGCTGGGAGATCATGCAGTCCTGGGCAGGGTGGCTGCGGCATCCCTTGCCTAAGAGTGTTGCTTGGTGCAGATACAGAGGAGGGGGGTACCCCCAAGTATGTACTGTCTAAAAGAGTCGCATTGCGAAAGTAGGACCCCAAAGACAGGGAGCAGTGGGCCCTGAATGTGGAGAGCAGGGGACACCAAATATGGGGAGCAACGGATCTCTGGATGTTGGGGTGTCACAGAACCCCTGTCTACTTGCAACTATTGCAGATGCTCCATCTTCAGGAGATGACGAAGATGGGGAGGACGTGGCTGAAGATACAGGTGAGCTTAGAACCTATGCACAGAGAGCTGGCCAGGGTTGGGCTGGGCTGCCTCCTCCTCATAGTCTGGTGGCTGGAGGATGACATTGCTACAGCTCCAGGAGCAGTGAGGAGGTGGAGCTGGCCTGAAGGATTTCGGTCTGAGTACAGTCAGTCATGGAGCTCAGGTTGCTGTTGAGGAGCAAGTCGAACCAGGGATTAAGGACCCTAGTGGCTGTTGGTTAAGGCCAGCAGGAGAGGAGAGTGGCTGTGCTGTGCTGAGATCCACGCTGTGTAAGGGGGCATCACAGATAGTGTGTGCTATAGTGTAGCTATAGATGGGGAGGCTAGGTTGTGCGGACTGAGTACTTGGGTGGCCTGGCCTGGCGCTCTCCCAGGATCTGCACCCTACTGGGATCTCCCTTCTGGGGATCTGCAGCAGCGTGTCTGCACCAAAGGGCAAGGAGCGGGCATGGCAGGTCTGAGAGTATGGCAGCATAGTGTTGAGGCTTCAGGGAGCCCGTCCAAGCAAAGCAGAGGACTCTCAATATAGAAGGGTAGCATGCTGGAGGGGGGTGGGCAGGCGCTTTGGGAAGGGTGCAGTGATTAGTTGTTATGGGTACTTGTGCCACCAGGGGCCCCTTACTGGACTCGACCAGAGCGTATGGATAAGAAACTTCTGGCTGTGCCAGCTGCAAACACTGTACGCTTCCGCTGCCCAGCTGCCGGCAACCCTACCCCCTCCATCTCCTGGCTGAAAAACGGCAAAGAATTCCGAGGGGAGCATCGCATAGGGGGCATCAAGGTGGGTCTGGGAGGGGCCCTGGAGTTCCAGGGCCTGGCCGTGGTCTAGTCTGTATCTGCTCACGCCCTGACTTTACCTGTAGCTTCGTCACCAGCAGTGGAGTTTGGTCATGGAGAGCGTGGTGCCCTCTGATCGCGGCAACTATACGTGCGTGGTAGAGAACAAGTTTGGCAGCATCCGACAGACATACACCCTGGACGTGCTGGGTGAGGGCCTGGCCGGGGGTGGCTAAGGCAGGGCATCCCCGGGCTCCTTGGCCCACGGCCCCTGACTTGGCTGCTGCTTTGCAGAGCGTTCCCCACACCGGCCCATCCTGCAGGCTGGGCTGCCAGCCAACCAGACAGCCGTTCTGGGCAGTGATGTGGAGTTCCACTGCAAGGTGTACAGTGATGCGCAGCCACACATCCAGTGGCTAAAACACGTGGAAGTGAACGGGAGCAAGGTGGGCCCTGACGGCACACCTTACGTCACTGTGCTCAAGGTAGGCGCTGCTGCCATCTGGTGGCTGGATGGGTCAGCTGGGGCTGCCTCGGCCCTCTGGTTCCCAAGTCGCTCTTGGCTGAGAGATTTGTTGGGATTTAGGCCCAGGTGTTGACGTTTCTGAGCAGGGACCGCAAATCTCAGTGCTTCTCACCTGCTCTGAGCTCCCAGCAGGCTCAGTGTTATTTTTGCCCTGCCATGGAACTTGTTTCCCTGTCTGCTCTGAGTGCGGTGACAGTTATCGTGGCCCAGGGCAGGAGGATGATGGCTGAGTTAGTAACCTCTGGATCCTAGAGGACTCGCTAGACACTCCCAAGCTGGCCTGGATTGGCTGGTGTCATCTGCTTGCAGTGTTGCACTGGCTCTGCCCTGCCTCCGTCCGCTTGGAGCTTTGTTCCATGGCCTTGGGTGGGGGCCACCCGAGTTGGGACATTTGTGACACTGGAAGCCCAAAGAGAAACATCTGTTCAGAGACAAGGAGGTCTGGTGGGGGAGGGGAATAGACACTGGCAGGAACAGAATCCTGGCTGTTGAGAGAGGCCGCTGGGGCCTTGTCCGGTGTGCCTCCCACTATGGGTGTGGGCGTTATTGAGCATAAGCTAGTTGCCCTGACATGACCCCTGGGGCGAGGGTTTGGAGGCTGTGGATTCTCTGTGTGCATGCGTGCGCGCGCGGTTGTTTAGAAGTCCTCTCTGAAACCATACCTACCACGGCAATGATACATACCTCTCCTCCAGGCAGCCTTCTAGGTGTTGCTGCCCAGCCCCCAGCCCATCCTTAGGGATCTCCCTTGCCCTGCCTCATCCTCATGTCCTTCTGGAGCTGGCTCGGGGTGTGCCTGAGCCCAGTCTCTTGTCCCCGCAGTCCTGGATCAGTGAAAATGTGGAGGCAGACGCACGCCTCCGCCTGGCCAATGTGTCGGAGCGGGACGGGGGCGAGTACCTCTGTCGAGCCACCAATTTCATAGGCGTGGCTGAGAAGGCCTTTTGGCTGCGTGTTCACGGGCCCCAAGCAGGTAACGACTCTGTCCCATGCCTGCCTGGCACGCTGAGCTCCAGCTCCAACGCTCCAGCCACTCACCTGCCTGCATGCCCTGCACGACCCCTGTCCTGCTTGACCCCCGCCTGCGGAATTCGCATTCTGCGTATGATCCCTCCGATACAGTGTTGGTCCTCGGCTACTACCATTGACTGGCCTGCTTCAAAGCCCCTCCCCTGACCTGTGCTGTCCACTTGCATTCCCCACTTGGCACACTTGAAGATCCTTAGAGCCTCCCAGGGGCTGAGCCCTGTGCTGTTCGAGTCGATTTCACACCCATCTCTGTCTGGCTCTGCTGCCCTCTGCCTTCCTATTCATGCGCCTGCCCATTTTTCCAACTGTACCTCTCCTGTTTCTGCACTAATTCTGCATGCTGCCTCTGTGTTGGCACCATGCTGCCCACCTGCCTGTTGCTCACCTTGGGACAGAGGACTCGCCACCGGTGGAGGGACTGGCTTCAGGCTCAGTGCCTCGGTGCAGGAGGCAGAGGGCCCTGGGCCTCTGTGGCTGTCTGTGGCAGGGCCATGGTGGTGGCCGTGGTTGTGGTGGTGGCGGCGTTTTCCTTGCAGCCTGGCTGGATCATCTCCGTGTGGACTGCTGTGGTTCCCAAAGGGAATTGCTGGCGCTTGCCTATCGCGCTTTGTTCTCTTTTTGTAGACGGCAGGCGCTAACACCACCGACAAGGAGCTAGAGGTTCTGTCCTTGCACAATGTCACCTTTGAGGACGCGGGGGAGTACACCTGCCTGGCGGGCAATTCTATCGGGTTTTCCCATCACTCTGCGTGGCTGGTGGTGCTGCCAGGTACTGGCTTCTGCTCACGCTGCACCTGTCTTCTTGGGGTGCTGGCTCAGGACATGCCAAAGCTGCCCGTGACTGCAGGGGGCCCCTTACGGCTTACTGCTGCCCATCCTGAGAAAATTCACCCTGTGGCCTTGTGCTTGGTATGGGAACATTAACCTGCTCTATCTTGGTCCTGCGAGGATCTCCCCTTCATCCTTCACTTGGGCCCCCATAGTCCTGATCTGTGGCTCTGGCATCTCCTGGGTGGCAGTATGGGTGCTTTTGGTTCTGCTGGGCTTCTGGGTCTGGCCCTGCTGACTTACAGATGTTTTTGACTACATTACCAAGGCAAGTGGGGGCCTTGGGGCCCCCTAGGTCTTTTCCCTCCCCCACTGACTGGTGCCTGTGTCCAGCCGGTGGGAAGCCCGAAAAGGCTGGATGAGGCCCCGAAACTTGTGTCTTTACAGCTGAGGAGGAACTGATGGAAGTGGACGAGGCTGGCAGTGTGTATGCAGGCATCCTCAGCTATGGGGTGGGCTTCTTCCTCTTCATCCTGGTGGTGGCAGCTGTGACACTTTGCCGCCTTCGCAGTCCCCCAAAGAAGAGCCTGGGCTCACCCACCGTGCACAAGGTCTCTCACTTCCCGCTTAAGCGACAGGTAACAGAAAGTAGATACCAGGTTTTGAGCTCCTTGTTGTGCCTTGGGTCTCCTAAAGTCCAACAGTACCCAGGGCCTGGGTCTCACTTCTCTGCAGTTGGGTGGGCTGATCCCTCCTCTTCCCATCTAGAGCCCAAATTCTGAGAGGCAAACACTTTTTTAGGTGTCCTTAGTAACCCCTATAAAAGTCAGAGCAGTCAGTACTTGGCCTCAGGTAGACTTGGGGCTATACCACCCCATCCCCTTTGCAATGCTCAGCCCACATTGTGTGGTACCAACCTGTCCCTGATGACCCAAGCAGGTATCCTTGGAGTCGAACTCCTCTATGAACTCCAACACACCTCTGGTCCGCATTGCCCGGCTGTCCTCAGGAGAAGGTCCTGTTCTGGCCAATGTTTCTGAACTTGAGCTTCCTGCTGACCCCAAGTGGGAGCTATCCAGGACTCGGTCAGTGGTGATAATGAACAATATGTATTTGGTGGGGTTTAGTGTGTAGTTGGTGGGGGTTGTTGGAGATGGGGTGATGCCCCTGAGGTGGAGCACAGGGTGAGATCTGAGGGGTTACTCTTTGTCTTAACAAGCAAATGCCCAGAAGGCTTCCAGGACACAGGGACACATGACCATGAGACCTGGGGGTGCTAGGCACACAGTTAACTTCCTCTGCTTCTGTGAGCAGGCTGACACTTGGTAAGCCTCTTGGAGAAGGCTGCTTTGGCCAGGTCGTCATGGCAGAAGCTATCGGCATTGACAAGGACCGCACTGCCAAGCCTGTCACCGTGGCTGTGAAGATGCTGAAAGGTGAGAATGGAGAGAAACGGAAGAGAAATGAAAGGGGCCTTTGAGGGCTGTGGGGCTACCAACTGACATGTCATTCCTGGCACAGATGATGCCACTGACAAGGACCTGTCGGATCTGGTGTCAGAGATGGAGATGATGAAAATGATTGGCAAGCACAAGAACATCATCAACCTATTGGGGGCCTGCACACAGGGTGGTAGGTGCAGCAGGTGGGCAGACTGGTGGGTGGGGACTCTTGAGCAATGCAGCATCTCAGGTGTGTGTGTTCCCAGGGCCCCTGTATGTGCTGGTGGAGTATGCAGCCAAGGGCAACCTACGAGAGTTCCTGCGGGCACGGCGGCCTCCAGGCATGGACTACTCCTTTGATGCCTGTAGGCTTCCAGAAGAACAGCTTACTTGCAAGGATCTAGTATCTTGTGCCTACCAGGTGGCACGGGGCATGGAATACTTGGCTTCCCAGAAGGTGAGCAGAGACAGGGCCCAGACCAGCTGGGGCCTCTCTGGGTAGAAGAGCGGGTGACAAGATTGCCTGGGCTGGGCTGGGGTCAGCTGAGCCCTTGTGTGTCTCCTCAGTGCATTCACAGAGACTTGGCTGCCCGGAACGTGCTGGTGACTGAGGACAATGTGATGAAGATTGCAGACTTCGGCCTGGCCCGCGACGTACACAATCTAGACTACTACAAGAAGACCACAAATGTGAGTCCTGGGTGGTTAGGGGGTGGGGCCCCTGTACCCGTGGACACGCGAGAGCTAACACCTCTCCCTCTGCCCAGGGCCGGCTACCTGTGAAGTGGATGGCACCAGAGGCCCTGTTTGACCGAGTCTACACCCACCAGAGTGATGTGTACGTGTCCACACATAGGATGAGGGAGTTCTGGGGACAGAGCCTTCAGGGTCCTGGTGTTATCAGTTTATTGGGCCATCAGCGCAGCCCTGGTGTCTTCCTTGTCCTGATGCCCCCACCCCTTTCCCATTGGTGGCGTGTCCTGGTTCAGGGCTGCTGCAGCAATGGGCCAGGAGTAACAGGGCCTTTGTCCTCACTTCCTTGCAGCTGGTCTTTTGGGGTCCTGCTCTGGGAGATCTTTACACTGGGGGGCTCACCGTATCCTGGCATCCCGGTGGAAGAGCTTTTCAAGCTGTTGAAAGAGGGCCACCGCATGGACAAGCCAGCCAACTGCACACACGACCTGTGAGCAAAGCATCCTTTCCTTTGCTGTCCAGTCCCTGGGAATGGCAGGATTCCCACCAGGGTCCCTGGGATGAGGTAGGGCTTGGCAGCAGGCCAAGAACTCAGAGCTGTTTTGCCACAGGTACATGATCATGCGGGAATGTTGGCACGCAGTGCCTTCACAGAGGCCCACCTTCAAGCAGCTGGTAGAGGATTTAGACCGCATCCTTACTGTGACATCAACCGATGTAAGTGCCACTCGGTCCTGCTCCCCTGTGGGGGTATTGCTCCTTGGAGCTCCAGTTGTGGGGCTGCCCTTCAGGAGCACAGGCTGAACACAGATGGCCATGGGAGTGGAGAGGGTGCCAAGGCACAGTCATGACAGCCTTCTCTGCCACCAGGAATACCTGGACTTGTCGGTGCCGTTTGAGCAGTATTCCCCAGGTGGCCAGGATACTCCTAGCTCCAGCTCCTCAGGGGACGACTCCGTATTCACCCACGACTTGCTGCCCCCAGGTCCACCCAGTAATGGGGGACCTCGGACGTGAGGGGCCAACAGTCCTGCAGATCAAACCCAGCCAATGTTTACGCGGACCCTAGCCCGCCCTGCTACTGCTGGTGTGCAGTGGACCCCAGCCAGCCCAGTGTGATGGGCCAACAGTGGACAGGACTTGCTGTGTGTGTCCGTGTGTCCTTGGCTCCTGGGTACAGAGGCCACTTGGGGACACGCACTGCTGTATAGTGGTCTCCTGACTGGCCAGGGTTGGGAGCACCAAATGTAGAATGTAAGAGGGCCCATCCTGTGCAATTCTGGGGTTCTGGCTCCCTCATTTCCCACTTCCACCTTGCAGGGACCGTTGCAGAGAGGACCATACTCCATGTCCAGGGTGGACCTTGGCCTTTTGGGTGCCCAAAGCTGAGCCTGCAGGGAAGCTCTGCCCTATGTGGCAAGCCTCCCTCCTAATATGGCACCTTATGCTTGGGGGCGAGTCACAGCTCTCCACCCCCAGGCCTTTTTTACCCGCCCCTCAGACTGAAATTACGGGTACCTGAAGGTGGGAGCCATAACGTCTGTCAAAAGGTTTATTCCAGAAGCAAATGTACATTTATATAAATACATGTCCTGTACAATATATATATATCTATATACATATATAAAAAAGAATATATGGAGGCAGGCAAAGCTGAGGCCAGAGGAGCAGGATACTCCAAGGGGCTCTCTGGTAAAATGCCAAGAGCAAGCCGAGAGGCAAGGGGCTTTTCTGGCAGCACAGTTTTGTTTGTATCCAGACCTGTATATTTGTAAAGCTATTTATCAACCCTCGGACCCCCAGGTTCCTAGCATTTAGTCCCAGGGTATTTGTATTGCAGAAATTTTAAGTTATAACTTATTAACAGTTGAAGAGGTTTATGCTGAATTTAGGGGGTTGCTGAGGTGCATCTGGCCCACATCAAGACTGGAGGAGGCGGGCCCCTGGAAGCTTGGCTCCAGTGAGCATTTTTTATTTCCTTTGGCCCTCTTTTGTGGGGGATTAGATTTATATAGGAACTTCCTTCAGGAGTTTTTTTTTTTTTAAAGTTTCAAGGTGACTGGTATTTTCATACAGATTATTCTAATTGATAGTATTCCAGGCAGAAGCCTATGTTCAGGGAGGGGCCAGCCCTGCCTGAGGTTCAATGTTAATAGATGTTACAAGTTTATATATATATATATTATATATATAATTTATTGAGTCTTTACAAGTTGTATTTGCTATAGGCTTAACACTTCTATGCAGTGCTTCTAGACTTTATAGCCTAGACTGCTACCTTTCAAAGTTTGGGAGTAAGAGTGGTGAATTCAGTTTGTTACTTTTTGTACTGTTACAGGCCCTAGGCTTGGGTGGCTGTCCCTTGCCTATCAGCCAGCAGGGCCAGGACAGTGGCTCAGGGTGACTTTTCTTGCGACCCAGCACATAGTTTGTCAGTCCACACTGGCAGATGTGATTTTGTTAACCAACTTACTTTCCAAAAAATAAAGTGAGAACTGGTTCTGATCTTCAGAGTGCTCTCTTGTGTCCTGGGACCTGTGCAACTGTGTCCTTACTGCCGGGGGTGTAGACTGGGAGGGTGGGAGACAGGCCAGAGGCGGAGGCATAACGGCATCTAAGGAATCAGCAGTGTCTGCTCCCTAGAGCAAGGTGCTGGTCTCGGGCTCCCAGGGAACTAATTACCTGCTTTTCCCTCCCAAAGTAAGGACAGCTGGGTTTGGGGGGGGGGGGGTTGCTTTCCTGTGGCCTAAGTAGCAGGCAGAATCTTAGGGTTACTAGCGTCTAGAGGTCCAAAGGACAAGATGCACTAGGAGATGTGTCCTCAGGAGGGGGTCATGGGTGTGTGGAAGAAGTGCACTTGGCCTCTCTAGCTTCCTGGCTGTCTTGACAGGAGGGATTCCATGAAGACATTAAGTGAAAGTGTATGTGGTGACTTTTGCAGGAAGGTAGGTGGCCAGACCTCTGGTTTCTGCAATCTACACTGGGCCAAGCATGATGCAGGTGATGTGTGTTCCAGGACAACAGAGAGAACTTGAGTGTTTCCTTCTTCCTACATCCATTTCGTCTGTCATACTTCTAACCTTAGGAGACATGGGGGCTGAATGAACTGTCTGTCTCTTCTAGCTAGGATCAGGCCCACCTTCTAGGTCAGGAGACTTGCTTAGCCGTACTAACAGAAGTTTTGGTTCTAGACAGAGCTTGGTCTTCAGGGAGGTACTGGATTTTAGAGGAAGCCGTAGGTCTCGTTCTGTTGTTGGTTCACCATAGCAGCCCCAAAATGGAGACCAGACAGTTTCCATTCCAGCCACACACACACCTGATTATAATGACCAGGCAGGGGGTGGCAGTTAAAGGGCCTGACGAAAGTCTAGACAGCAGTGTGTGACCAGAGGGATACATTCCCATCCCTGAACCAGGCTTGACACTTCCTGGGTCAGCTGTGTGCCAGTCTGTGGCGCCCCCTAGTGCCATGTTGAGCATAGCTTCCTATGGCACCAAGAAAAGTTTTAACATCAAGGGGTTGGTCCATGGTGACAGAAAGTGGACCTGAGGGTCAGGGGCCATAGGTCGGGCCACTCTTGTCCATAATAGTCCCATTGCCACCTTAGAAGAGGTAAACGTTCGGGCCTTGAGCTGCACCACCAGAGTCTACTGTACGGGCATTGCCCAGTGGGAAAGGAGTATGAGTGGCTCAAGCTGCAAGCATTGGATTTGCATTCAAATCTCCCACTCCTTACTGAAGTCAGGCTTTTTCTGCTCTGCTCTCTGGTGGAGTCTCTACCTGACTGCCTTGCCTTTTAGATATGGGTGGTAGTGATGGTGGGTGGTTTCCGGTTTGTACTGGCTAGCATCAGGGACACGCTAGCTCTCAGGAGCCTGCTTATCCACTGGCATGTAGCTGTGTCCCCAATGGTCTGAGCACCAGCAGCAGGAATTACCCTCCGGGCTGGAAAGATGACTCTGATTTAGTTGAGTACTTGCTGCTCTTGTAGAGGACCTGGCTTTCATTTCTAACACCTACATGATGGTAGCAACTATCTTTAACTCTAGTTCTGGGGGATATGACAAACTCTTCTGGTCTCTTGTGGGTACATACATACTTGCAACAAAACATAAAATTTTAAAAAGGAAGAGAAAGATTTATCTTCCCAAGAAGGCAAGAAACTGATTCTGTGTGTGTCAAATGTCCTGAGAGATTCGGGCACAATCACATCCCTACTCCCCTGGCACATAAGGCTTTTCTAGAGTCACCTGGGGACTTCCATTTCCTGGCTAAATCCATCTCGTCTGAATGTTTACTCGGTCCTCACTACAGCCAGTGGGCATGCTGTGCCCTTTAAATACCTATCCCAACCAGCAAGCAGTTCCTACCCTTGCCCTGCAACTTGTACCTCTTGATCCTGGAGACCAATGGAATTTGAATCAGGCATTCTAGAAGACACCAAGAATGGCTACAGGAGACCACCCAAGACGTGCTGGGGTCCTGGGAAGATCAGGAGATAGATAATATACCTTTACCCTCCTCCCAGCTGGGCTACCCCAGGGAAGCTGCCTCCACTGGACCCATTGCCCTTTACATGTCCCTGTGGCTGGATTCTGTCTACGAGACAGTAGTACACTTAGTGTGGGCACAGGTCCCACTTCTCTGGGACTCCTCAGCCACAGTCCCAGCTCCTGCCCACCCTGTGCAGATCACGACAGGCACAACGTGGGGCTGTGAGATGACAAGTCTGAGGCCATTTAAGGGGGTTTGCAGGCTGGGAGAGCCTGGTAGGTGTCAGGACTACTGAGCTGGACAAATCGTCTTACAGCAGACACAACAGCAGTGGTACTTTATTCGGTCACCTCCTTACATGAAGCTGTCGCTTGCCAGTCTCCCAGGGCCCCGAGTCTGCTTCAATTCTAAGAAGTACTTACTTGCCTGACTCCACAAAACAGGGCTGTTCCACAGAATGAGGGGATACCTCAGGATGAGGGGATACAGGTCTCCCCAGGTCCCACAAAGCATGAGCCTGGAACCAAGTCTTGAGCCCCTAAAGGTGAGCTGGCACTGAGCTGTGGGGAGGATTAAGCCCCGCTAAAATCTGAGCACACCTGATGCCCACGGCACAATTCTTATTAATTTAGGAGGTCTGAGTTTCCCTTCGATCTCTTTACTAGGCAGAATGCTCAGGGCTGTTACATGGGCATGGAAGATGTTTACATGTGACCCCACTGGAGGTTCTGGGATCCCTGGAAGTCAGAAGAGGATACAGAACTTGTTCCCTTACCATGGCCCCAGGAGGCACAGCCCAAGACCATGAGGATGGCCTTTCAGAACTGCATGGTGCCCTGCACATTGAGGATGTTGATAGTCCAGAAGGAGCCTGTGTGGGCAGGTGGCTGGGAGTGTAGAAGGGAATGCCAGATTTCATTTATCAGGTGTGGGCACCTGGCCCCTGGGCAGGCACTGGGGTACAGAGCAGTTATGAGAGTTGAAATACAGCCAGCTCTCAAATGCTCAGCTCATATACAGTTCTGTCATGGGGCTGCTACTTCTTTTCCTTTTTCTTTTTTTTGGGGTGGTGGTGGTGGTGGTTCAAGACAGGGTTTCTCTATGGCTGTCCTAGAACTTGCTCTGTAGACCAAGCTGACCTTGAACTCAGAGATCCACCTGTCTCTGCCTCTGGAGTGCTGGGATTAAAGGTGCATGCCACCATCACTGTCCAGTAGACCTGCCATTTCAGCTGTACTGAAGTCAAGCAATGAAACAGATGTGGGGCCAGTTCCAAAAACCAAGGCAAGCACCCACTGCTAGGCCCTGCAACATCACAGGGCGAACCCACTTTCCAGGGTGATGATGTGACCTGTGAGGGCAGAGTCCACAATAGGACAGCAGGGAAATACCCGAGTCAGCAACAGCCAACACAGCCACTGACAGTGCCCAGTAACAATGAAGGAGGAAGACAATAGGTAGACAAAGGACAGGTCCCAGAATGCTGCTCAAAAGAGAAACGATTCATTGTGGGAACACATTTGGCAACCACAATCTTGTCCTCAGAAGTACACACTAACAGTGGGAACCAGGCTGCTAGGGTACACAAGGACGCACAGATGTGACCATATATTCACTAGGCTCCTTCCACTGTTACTCTGCACAGGCTTATGTGTGAGAATTATTTTATTCTTGCTTAGCATCATATGCTTCCTTTAAGAAAAGTTTCAAGAAACCGAGAAAGTTCCATTCTAGTTGCTGCTTTTCTGCACATCTTCTAGATCCTGTCTGGAGTCATTTTCCTGGACAGGATAGCTCAAGCTGAACTCAGGATCTTGCTTTCTGTGATCCTAGGATGGGGTTACAGTGGGAGGGTGGTGGTGAGGCTACAGGATACTCAGCCCTGGCCTGCCCAAGCAGCCATCTCCAACTAAGAAAGGGTGCTGGCCACTCAGCAAGAGCTCTGGGCGCTGAGCTAGTGCATCTCCACTCAGGGGTGCCAGCGAGCCGTTAGCAGGCACGGAACACCACGCCGAAAGCTCTGTGGCACCACAGACTACTTCCTCACTGCTGGAGGCAGGAGCACATTCAAGAGCATCTGTGATGAGACAGCCTTGTGAAGCCCCATCTTGGCCACTGTCCTGGGCAGGACTTAAGTTTTATGTTAAAAGCCACACAAAGCCTCAGGTCTGTTCAGGTTTCAGGTATCAGCTCTATCCCCCAGGGCTACTCAGCAATGTGGACTGCCCAATTTCATTTCAAAGGCTTCTTCAGTGTATGTCCCCTGTTAATTACGGAACTACTCATGAGCTAGGCGAGTAGTCATGTGTGTAAATTCAGTACTAGTCAGTTATAGAATTAGGTGAAAATCAATGGTAAATTGAGAACGCTCCAGTCAACATGCTTCAGAATCCATACAAGAGAGACAATGCTGTCAGGGACTAGTAGTTACGACACAACTGTGGAGGAGTGAGCATACAGATCTCCTGGAGGAATCCCAAGTCCTCAGACTGACTTCAGCGTCTTCAGCGCAGAGGAGGCCTGCATTGTGTCTGTCTACCTCCTATTCCAAGGCCTCTGGAGAAATGCAGGCACATTTACTTGGCTCCACACAGGTGCTGGGAGTCCACTTGGTTCTCACTCTCCTCTCAAGGGACAGAGGCTTGGCCAGACCCTGAGTAAGGACATAAACAGGGAAATACTTTCCTACCCAGCCTAGCCCAAGCTACCTTTGGAGCTATGGGTCAGTGTGAGGCTACGATCCTAGTGGTGGCTGTCCCCTTACCCCATGGGTTAGGGCCATTTAGTACCACACCAAGGCATGAGTCCAGACACAATCACTCAGAGGGCTGTAGGGCTCCAGGCTGACTGAATCTTCATGGAATGATGAAAATTAAAAATTGCTTGATTAAGGAAGTTTCTGATTTATTCCAGAGAAAATATTAGATTTGCCACTAAGAATCACCTCATAGCAATCACTCTTGTGTCATCCCCACTGTGGTTGGTGTAGCATGATGAAGGCAGACCCTGTGGGCCA